AGTTGGTACCTTAGATGTTACCAAATGTGTAAAACAATAGTGTAAATGTTGAAATCTATTGTGAAATGCAAATAACTCTTGAATTATTCAACATTTAGTAAACAGCCGTGATCGTATAGTGGTGAGTACTCTGCGTTGTGGCCGCAGCAACCCCGGTTTGAATCCGGGTCACGGCAACATGACTAACTTTGTTTTAGAAAACAAAGCTCAGTCTCAGGTCAGTGAAGGCTGCTGAAATAACACAAACACAAAGGAAAGGCACATCGAATCTATGCTTAGAGCTGCAGTTTACACTCAATTGTTCAACTATGTTTTTACAAATGAGTCTGCAGGAGGGCAGCATGTTGACACAGTGGGTAGAGCTGCTGCCTCTCAGTGAGCAGGTCGCCCTGGTTCAAATCCTGACTGGCACCCTCCCCAGGTGGAGCCTTCATAGTTCATGTGTGGGTTTTCTACAGGTACTCAGTTTCCTCTCACAGAAAAAAAATGATTTAAACAAAATTGTCCAGAGGTGAGAGTGAGTAATTGTTTGTTCCTTTGTGGCCCTGTGATAGACCTGTACCCTGCCTTTTGCACACTGAAGGCTGGACATGGGCACCAGCAACCCCCGTGACCCAAAACGTAAGAAACGGAAAAAGATAATGGATGGATGGAGTCTGCAAGATATTTTAACTTGTAACATCATGTTATCAATATCAATTATTTGATACCTTTTATGTTACTAAGTGTGTAAAACATTAATATTGTAAACGTTCAACAATAGACAAAGATGTTAGTTTTTCGTATGGATATTTTTTATTGTATTATGGTTGAGATGGCTGAGAACATCCTTCTGTAATACTGGCACAAAACATTCTCTTGTCTCAGTCTGAAGGCCAGCTCGTCGACTTGCAGTGCCTCATTTGTGTGGACGCTGTGAGAACAGGCCCAAAACATTTTTTTATCTCCATCTGGAGACCAACTAGCCAACGGCCATGGATCATGTTTATGTATCTGACTGCAGCTGGCGATGAGGGAACACCCACTGCACTCTGCTGCTGTAATTCTGCAACAAACTCCATTCGACACTTATCTGTGACATGTTCCTTGCATTATGGATCTATGTATGTAATCTGTCTAGAACAAGTTTTTGCAAGTAAAATACTGGTTAAAAGTCTTTCTGTTATTGAGTGTGGTTCATATATATATATATATATATATATATATATATATATATATCCATCCATCCATTATCTTTACCCGCTTCTTCCATTTTGGATCACGGGGGTTGCCGGTGCCCATGTCCAGCAATCACTGTGCGAGGGGCGGGGTACACTCTGGATGGGTCGCAAGTCCATCACAGGGCCACATAGAGACAAACGACACAAAAAACATTCACTCTCTCACTCACACCTAGGGACAATTTAGAGTTACCAATTAGCCTAACAAAAAAAAAATATATATATATATATATATATATATATATATATATATATATATATACACACATATAAATTGAATTGTTATTGTGAGTATTTCTCGGCCCTCTGTGAATGTCAAGTAGCCTTCAGGGCACTAACAATCAATTGTTAGACTGTTGGTCCTTTTGCATGTGAACAACTAGTTGTGTTGTCACCAGCAAACTGGTTGATCCACTGTGAGAAGGTGCTATTTATAAGACTGAGTTTGTTCCAGTTCCTCAGACTGAAGGTGTTCTAAATATTATAACAAGGAACAAATCCAAAGGACATGACTCACCCTTGTCAAAACTCATATTGCTCTTTGTAAACAGCCGTGATCGTATAGTGGTGAGTACTCTGCGTTGTGGCCGCAGCAACCCCGGTTCGAATCCGGGTCACGGCAATTTTATAAACGACTAATTCAACTTGAATTTGGCTTTGACCTGATATAATTTAACATTACCTGGAACTCATTCGGTAGTTTCTGGATAATCTCACTTTAATTGTATTTGGAGTTTGTTCAGCCGCTTTTCAAACCGGACGTCAAAGTCTCGCGTTACTTCGCCAGCAAATCTCGTTCAAGCGAACCAACCCGGAAGCGAATGGCGGAAATCTAGATCTACCTCACGCTTTCTGGTTCCACTTCTTTTTAATTTATTTTGTATAGTTTCTGTTCTTGTCTTGAAATGTTTTGAGCTACCGAGGAGGGTGCAGATGTCCTCACAAACAACCAGGGGATAGCTTTAAAAAATAATGTGGTCGCTTTAAAGCTGCCCGGCAGAATTTGTTCCAGTGAATGGACGGATGGGCAGCCGAGTGATTCAGCTGAAGAGACTGCCCTCTGCCAAATTTACCACAGGTAATGTTAACGTCACTTTTATTTTTAAACTGTAAACTGTGATTAAAAACGTATATCAACAGTTAGTCTGCGTGAGAGGTGAATTTGTTGAAGAACAATGATCTAAATGAAACCATATAGCTTCAAAACAGATGTTTTTCTTTTTGATGAATATATTTACAGGCTGACAATTTGTGGGCTGTTATTAATAAAATAAATAAAAGTAAATGTCAGGACTATGCATACATTGTAACTTTAAATTTATAATTTTATTTAGTTTTGACATTGGCAAATCTGGAAAAGCAACGTAGCAAATGTCTACCAGGCATTTTTTTTAAAAGATTTATCTGTAAGTATGTTGTGACAAGCTGAATCATCAAAGTCTCATGTATCTGTGCACGTTACGATCAAATCCTCCTTTTGTGGCGCCTCATTTGCAGACATATGGCCCTGCTGCTCAGCTAGAGGAGAGAAGCAGCGACCATGTTTCTGAAAACATCCTTCACCTCGCTGATTGTGGGGGTGTTCGTGGTGTACGTGCTCCACACCTGCTGGGTGATGTATGGGATAGTTTACACCAAACCCTGCGACAGCCCCAGAGGAGACAAGTGCATCACACCTTTCCTGGCTGCAAACCCGAAACTACAGGTCAGCACTCGGGTCTCGCTGATGAGCTGCGCATGAATGGTTCTCTCATTTTAGTGCTTATAAATGATTATAACAGTGACATCTCTGTGTTTTAGTTGAGTATCTACACTTCACTACAGTCAAACGCAGACGGAGGGCACACTTTGATTCATAAAGAGGAGAACTTTGATGTCAACAGCAAATTTGAGAGGTTGGTAGGACTCGGAAATATTATGTCTTTCAAAATGAAATAGAATCTAAGCTGCACATTACTAAGATGGATAATAACCTTAATATCACCCTTTTATACAGATATTAGGGATGCACGATATTATCGGCATGTTATTGGTATCGGCTGATTGGCTGATATTAGTAGGCCTGTCACGATAACAAATTTTGCTGGGCGATTAATTGTCTAAAAAATTATTGCGATAAACAATAATATTGTTAGAAATTTGACAATAATTGGTAATTATTGTCAAATTTAAGAAGAAATGTTGGTTAATTATTGTGTTTAGTAACTTTTTTTTGACATCCGGATGGCAGTATAAGACTGTGTGAACCGAAGGATTGATAGTGGGGGATCGAGCAGCGTGTCTCTTTAAGAAAAATGGGAGGGAGGCCCTTTGATGTGACACGGGCTGTCTCCTTCCTTTATTGGTTCTCAAAATGGCGGACGCTTGGTGTGGTTTGAGCTCTTTAGCATAACAGTTTTCACACAAAGCTTTTAATTTAAAAAAATCAGCAAGCGAGTTCTGCGCTTCTTTTTGCAGAGAAAAACAACTTTTTAGATGAAGGCACGTGTTTCAACTGTGAATTTTGGAAATTCGACAAGACAGGTTTTTCTCGAGGTTGGCTTGCTAGCTTAGTTCGTAGCTTAGCTTCTCGGCTTAGCTGCTTTTAACTGTCCAAAAACACGATTTTGGACAGTTAAAACAGATTTTAAAGAGAAAGGGAGGAGTCAGTGAAGAGCACCGGAGTTGAACCTTTTGTTATCCGTTGTCTTCAGTAGATCAAGACGACGATAAAGCCGACAAATGAAAAAGGTCGATAATTTTCATTTATCATGCGATTCATTGATTTATTGTTTATTGCGACAGGCCTAGATATTGGCGATAAAATTAAATATCGGACATCGGCCATTCCATCAAAACAACTCACCAATATAAAAGGTGCTGTTTTTTTTATATATAAGTTATATATTTATATAGTGTTACATCATTTTCAGCCCCTTTTTTGGCATCTGCATTTGGTAGCAGGCCAAATTGACAAAGATAAAGCAGAATAATGTAGTATTTTAATTCCATAGCAGAGAAAGCTATGTAGTCTCTGCAAGTAGGTGTAGGGAAAAAAACATAAGTATTGGTATCGGTTATCGACCAAGTAAGTTTTACCATATCGACATATCGGATATTAGCCAAAAATCCAATATTGTGCATCCCTAACAGATATGAATATAAACTATGTTGCACCCTATTGTATAAACTTAAGAACACTTTATCCTCAAAATTTTGACAAACTGGGTTTATCAAATAAAGTCTGCTTTAGATTAATTTACCTCATGTTCACCATCTTTCCGTTTTGTTTTTATTTAGGATCGTCAACGTCTCCCTCCCCAAGAAAACGCGCAACAATGGGACTTTGTACGCGCTAATATTTGTCCACCAGGCTGGTTTCAGTCCGTGGCAGGATTCACGTCAGGTCCATTCGGTGGTCCAGCTCACCACCTACATGGTCCCAAAACCTCCTGAAATCTCTCTGATTTCTGGTGAAGATCAAACCCAGGTATGTGCTTCATTTCAGTCTGAAATTAAAAGAATAAAAACTGTTCATAGTTGTTTTTGTTGAACTGGAGGCTTGTTTTATTGCTTCTACTTCTGATTTTAGATCTTTGTATAACAAATGAAGAGTTTTGCATGCTTTAGATTTTAAAGGTAAAACTTTACCACCCTCTGTGATCCCTCAGGGTCAGAAACAGGAAGAGCAGAAGAAGAAACAGCGCAATGGTCAGCCTGCAGCGGGAACCGGCACTAAAGGCGGAGCCACTTCTTCACCAGATCACCCAGTGTCCCACTGGCGCTCTCGTCTAACACTCAACATCGTCGGTGACCACTTCCTGTTCGACAGAGAATACCTCCCAAGTGACGTTCACAGATACCTCAGAGTGTAAGAGAGTGGATCAGCAACACGCTACGGCTTCCTGTTTTGAATTTTTTATATGTTTTCAGCAGTTTAATTACTTTATACTTTGTGCTATTTTAACTGTTCATGTATCAAAATGTTTAGCTCATTCAGGAGATGGGTGCTGTGAGTTTTTGTCACATTTATACATGTCAAATTATTAAGATTTATTTACAAATATTTTGTTCCTATAAATACATGGAGATCTCTTCAAATCCTTTAAAAACATTTTTTAATCTACTTCAGTGTGCTTGCTTTATATTTGTCTTATGCTACTTCTATAATTTAGCTTTTAGATAGTCTTTTGCTGCTGTTGGTATTTAGTTGGTGGTTTACTTCTTTTAGCCTCATGTTAGCTTTTTGATACTTTTAGCTTTTAAGTGAAACGTTAGAGCTTCTAGCTAATTTTGCAATTTTAGCTTCTAGGTAGTCTATTGCTGCTTTTAGGTAGTCTTGTTACATTTAGCCTTCAGCTAGCCTTTCTTCTGTTGGCATTTAGTTGGAGTTTTATTTCTTTTAACCTCTTGTTAGCTTTTGATACTTTTAACTTTTAGTTAACCTTTTGCTACTTTGAACTTCTAGCTAATTTTGCTATTTTAACTTCTAGCTAGTCTTGCTGCTTTTAGTAGTTTTTAGCCTTCAGCTAGCCTTTTGCTTCTCTTGGCATTTAGTTGTTGTTTTGCATCTTTTAGCCTCTTGCTTAGCTTTTTGATACTTTTAACTTTTAGTTAACCTTTTGCTACTTTGAGCCTCTAGCTAATTTTGCTATTTTATCTTCTAGCTAGTCTATTGCTGCGTTTAGTAGTCTTTTGTTACGTTTAGCCTTCAGTTAGCCTTTTGCTGCTGTGACTTTTCTTTATTGTTTTGCTACTTTTAGCTTGTTCTTTTAAATTTAATAACTTCAGCTTCTTTAAAAAAAATTCAGCAATGTCAATCTGACAATGTGATTTCTTCAGTTTAATATTCAGATCAGAATGGAGTATAAAGACATATTTAGGGTTGAGAAAAGCAGCTTACGTTTGCAGTGGTTACATGTTTGCAGGTTTGGTTTCTGTAAAAAAAAGAAAACATAAATGTTTTTCTTTGCGTTTTAGATTCCAGAATGGGAAAAAGATGGTGTACCTGCCTCTGCTGTTTGTCGATGAGCTCAGCAACAGAGTCAAAGACCTCGTGGTGAGTTTTAACCTTTAGCTAGTCCCAGCTGAAACATTAACATTCAACGCACCGTTTCCTGTATTGTGTTCTTTGTTTCCTTCTTGAGCCTCATTAAAGCAGCTATTTAAACAATAAATGTTATTAATAATATCAAGAGAGATGCTCCGAGTTATCTGAGGCGTCTATGTTTATTGTAGGAGATCAACAGCTCCTCCACAGAGCTGCCTCTGACCATCTCCTACGACTCCATCTCTCTGGGGAGACTCAGGTTCTGGATCCACATGCAGGACGCCGTTTTTTCTCTGCAGCAGTTCGGTAGGTTGATCTTTCTCGAGCTCGCACACAGACACGTGAATCGTTTTAACACGTCGTCGTTTTGTAGGCTTCACAGAGAAGGATGCTGACGAGATCAAAGGGATTTTTGTGGACACCAACCTGTACTTTCTGGCTCTGACGTTCTTCGTGGCTGCTTTCCATGTGAGTCGCTCCACAAAAAGCTTCCAAATTATGATTTTTTTTTTGCAGAAACATATATTTTTTAATCTATTTTTTTGTGTTTTTCATCCCGTTTGCCATGTTTTCCCAGCTCCTCTTTGACTTCCTGGCTTTCAAAAACGACATCAGCTTCTGGAAGCAGAAGAAAAGCATGGTGGGGATGTCCAGTAAAGCAGGTTGGTTGGTGTCACTTGGCTCGTTTTCTCTTCATCAGTGCATCTGTGGTAAACCTGCAGCGTGAACAGCTGTAGGCTTGTGTTTACGAGTGGAGCAGGCTGTACGTTACAGGATGTCAACCTGTAATAAAGCTTTTGGAAAACGTGTAAAAACACAAGTGAAGTGATGAACGAGGCGTCGTCTGTGCATTCAGGCTGCATGTGACTCAGTCAGTCTGGGCTGCTGAGTGCTCAGATGTTACGTTTCGCATCCTTAATCATTTCAGAGTAATGGTGTTTTTGTTTTTTTGCTTTTGCTGTAGACTAGTAATTTCTTTACAACACTGAAGTGATTCGTGTTTATAAACCTGAATGATTTTGCTTACAGTTTTAATTTTTCTCCTTTTTGCTCTAAAAGACTCTGAGGGGAAATATCTATAAAACTTTTACATGAGGAAGAAAAACGTTATTGTGTCTAAAACATGCGTCACTAAAATGTTTTCTACTGAACAAGGCGTTGAGATAAATCTGCTGCGATCAGAACGTTGAGCCATCGGTTTCATTTTAACGCTGACAGAACTAACGGCAGCGTGTCTGATGTTTGTATGTTCTTTCTCTCAGTGCTGTGGAGATGTTTCAGCACCATCGTTATCTTCCTGTATTTGTTCGACGAGCAGACGAGCCTCCTCGTGCTCATACCAGCTGGGATCGGCTCCATCATCGAAGTAAACACACACACCGACCTGCCGCGACACCGCAGATAACGATTGTTCTTTAGGACAAGGCTTTGACATCTGTTTAAACCAAACTGATCAGTGAAATTGGTGCTACAATAAATTTGGATTAGTAAAGAGTTAAAACTCTCCTCAGGATTTCACAATCATTTGCAGGACGTTTTTGATAGATAAAAACTAGACAAATTGCATTTCCTGCGAAAATGCAGTGCGAATGTTTATTGCTGAAGAAATTGCTTTTCGAAAATAAAAAACAGCTGAAAACATGCTGAAGTGTTGGATGAAATGTAGCTGAAATGAAAGAACAAGCCTAAATTAGCAAAAGAAAGCAGAAATAATAAATATTAGCTGATTTATGTTTAAATAAGTAGAAATGAGCAAAAAGTTAAGAAATTAGCACACAAAAAATGGCTGAAATTAGAAACAATAAAATTAGCTGAAAAGGCAGAAAGAATCTTAAAATACCAGAAGGAAGTGGAAGGAGCTGAAATTAGCTAAAAAAAAAAAAAAAAGTGGAATTAGCTGAAAAAGCTAAATTTAGCACAAAACAGCTAAATAGTAGCTGAGATAGAAGATAAAGCTGAAACTGACAGAAATAAGTTGAAAGGAGCATAACAAGCTGAAATGAGCAGAAATAAGTTAATTAGGCAGAACACAGCAGAAATTACCATGAAAAACTTGAATTTACCTGAAAACAGCTGAAATTAGCTAAAATTGCTAAAACGTTAGCTGAAAATGTAGAACAAGCTCAAATTAACAAAAGTAAGTAGAGACAGCACAGTTTTTCCCAATTAGGCAGAAAGAAGCAGAAAATGAGGACAAAAAAGTGGAAATTATTTGAAAAGAAGTTGAAATTAGAAGAAAAAAAAAAAGACTGAATTGTAGCTAAAAAGGAAGAAAGAAGCTTAAAATTACCAGAAGTAAGTGGAGAGAGCACATTTTTGCTGATTTAGGCTGAAAAAAGTTGAAATGAATGCAAAAAAAAACCCAATGTGGAATTAGCTGAAAAGGCTAAAATTAGCATAAAAACAGCTACATAAATAGTAGCTGAAATGGCAGAAAAGGTTGAAACTTGCAGAAATAAGCTGAAAGGAACATAACAAACTGAAATTTGCATAAATAAGTTAGAAGAAGTCAAAAATATTCTAGTTAGCCAAAATAATCTGAATGGAACACAAAACAGCTGAAAGTAGCTGAAAAACGTTTTAATTTGCACAAGGAAGCTGAAACAGAACAAAAAGTGAAAGGAGCAGTTGTAAATACATTTCCCGTGAGGAAGAAAAATGGCAGAAAAGGCTAAATATTTCAAAAAGCTAAAGTTGCAACAATGCCTAAAGTCATAGCAGGATTGTCCTGAAAGAGCTGAACATTTTGATATATTTGTTGAAATAGCACAAAAATTATGGAACGAGAAACATGCTGAAAAACATACAGAAGAAAAATGGATGACAATAGTGTGAATGCTTCATAAACATTCACACAGCTAGCCCAGGGCTAACTCTGGTGAAATGTATCAACTGTTTTTATGCTTATAACAGAGTTGCTCAGTGTCCTGATTTAATAAAGTTTATTGAAAGTGGTCATTGTGAGATCATGAAGTCATAAATTACATGTTTTGCTGTTGTTTTTGCAGGTGTGGAAAGTGAAGAAAGCCTTTAAAATCCAGGTTTCTTGGAAAGGAGGCAAACCAACATTCCTGGTAGGTGTGAATGTGTCGAGCTCTTTTGACCAAAGCGCACAGGTAGTTCAGGAAAATGTCCAGATGTTTTCTGCAGCAGCTGTTCACTTGATCCATTTCTTGTCTCGCTCAGAACGTGTCTGCACAACTTATGTAGCAAATATGAGCATTTTTTTAGATTAGCAGGAACTGCACCGTCAGAACAGCTAAATGACTTCTTTCTGTTGGTGCTTCTTTTTTATGTGATAAACCTTTCCCCACTCTACCGATGAATAAATAATATAATTATGACTAAGCTATGATTTTTTTAAAAGAAGTATGACTTGCTTTGCAGTAAATAAAATGTTGAGATAATTTGTAATTGTCTGTAATTGTTGGCTTCACAGCTGTAAAATGGATCAAATGTGTTTTGTTTTTCTTTGACACAGTTTGGAAAATTAGATGAATCAGAAAGAAGAACAGAAGAATATGATACTTTGGTAAACAAACAAACTAAGGATTACTCTTGCATGCACAATTTAATCCTGTTTGTAGACTAATTTGTTTTGTGTTTGGCTCAGGCCATGAAGTATCTGTCGTACCTCCTGTATCCTCTGTGTATCGGAGGAGCAGTTTACGCTCTGGTGTTCCTGCGATATAAAAGGTACGGCTCGGAGTGTACGAAAAATGAATATGTGAGTTTGAGACGGTTGTAATGTTTCTGTTCTCTCTTCTAGCTGGTACTCATGGTTGATAAACAGCTTGGTGAACGGTGAGCTACATTTCACTCAGAATGCACTCAAAACTAGAGACACTGCATTTCCTGTGAAACCGCGTTGTCAATGCTTATTGCAGAACTTGCTGAAAAACAGCTGAAATTAGCTAAAAACTTTGGCTAATTTCAGCTGAAATTAGCAGAAATATACTTTTACTAATTTTGCTACTTTCAGCCTAATTAACTTATTTCTGTTAATTTCAGTGGAGAGAGCACATTTTTGCTGAAGTAGCCTGTAAGAAAGAAATTAGCTAAACGTAGCTGAAATGAAAGAACAAGCCTCAATTAGCAGAAGAAAGCAGAAGGAACACATATTTGTGGAATTAGGTTTAAATAAGAATAAATGAGCACAAAAATTAGAAAATCAGTTAAAAATGCTGAAATTAGTAACAAAAAAAAAACTGCTGCAAAAGAAGCTGAAAAGGCAGAAAAAAAGCTTTAAGTACCAGAAGGAAGTGGAAAGAGCTGAAATGAGCTCAGAAAATGTGGAATTAGCTGAAAAAGCTACAATTTGCATAAAATATCTAAATAGTACCTTCAATAGATAAAGCTGAATCTAGCTAAAATCAACTGAAAGGACCATAAATTTAAATGAACAGAAATTAGTTAATTAGGCTGAAAGTAGCAGAAATTACTAAGTAATCTTCAGTACATCTGAAAACTGCTGAAATTAGCTAAAAAAATTAAAAAGGTAGATGAAAATGTAGAACAAGCTTAAATTAGCAGAAGAAAGCAGAAAGAACATGTTTGCTGAAAGAAGCAGAAATGAGCACAAAAAAGTGGAAATTATCTGAAAAAAGCTGAAATTAGCAAAATAACAACAACAACTGAAAAGTAGCTAAAAAGGCAGAAAGAAGCTGAAATTACAAGAAGGAAGTGGAGAGAGCACGTTTTTGCTGAAGTAGGCTGAAAGACGTTTAAATGAGTGCAAAAATGTTGAATTTGCTGAAAAAGTTAAAATTTGCATAAAAACAGCTATATAGTAGCTGAAATAGTAGAAAAAGCTTAAACTTGCAGAAATAAGCTGAACGGAGCTTGACACGCTGAAATTAGCAGAAAGAAGTTAGAAGAAGCACAAAAATGTTGTAGTTAGCAGAAAGAATCTGAAAGGAGCACAAAACAGCTTAAACAAATAACTGAAAGTAGCTGAAAAAGTTTTAAATTTGCACAAAGAAGCTGAACCAGAACAAAATGTGAAAGGAGCAGTAAAAGGCTGTAAACAGATCTAAAGATCTGAACTGAGCTCAGTTCATTTTTCTATGTGAGAAAAAAATGTCCGAAAAGGCTAAATATTTTACAAAGCTAAAGTTGCACCAATACGAAAGTCATAGCAGGATTGTCCTGAAAGAGCTGAATGTTTTGATTCATGATTCACTGAAACGGCTTGAAAACTGCAGGACGAGAATCACACCGGAAAATGTGCAGAATAAAAATGTATCGTAACGCTTCATAAACATTCACACAATTAAAAAATAACCCACTAAACCGATTCAACAGTTCGCTGCAGTGATGGTTGCTGCTAGGAATCTAAATGATTATCCTTTAAAATGATAATAAACCTGTTTCTCCTGTTAAATATTGCAGGAGTGTATGCTTTTGGATTCCTCTTCATGCTCCCTCAACTCTTTGTCAACTATAAGGTGAGTTTTTCTTGTCTTAAAGACGCTTGTTACTTGAGATAAAGCAGCAACTGTTCACACCTTTAAGAGTCTTGGAAGGTTTCTCTTCAGCGTTGTGTTTAGCTTTCGGCTTTTCTTCTGTAAATTCTGTTCATTTGTTTCTGTAACAGCTGAAGTCTGTGGCTCACCTGCCCTGGAAGGCCTTTATGTACAAGGTGAGAACACTTCTTGTTTCAGCGGATTACTTGAGTTGATCCCGCATAGTGTATTCATGTGTGCACACCTGCAACCTTTTGTACAAAAACAGCTTTTATTAAGACTTTTTCCTTAAAATTACCAGATATTTTATTTATGAAAAGTTTTCAAAACTGATTTTTTTTTTTTTTAAGGCTTTCAACACGTTCATTGATGATGTATTTGCCTTCATCATCACCATGCCAACGTCTCACAGACTGGCCTGCTTCAGAGACGATGTGGTGTTCCTCATTTACCTTTACCAGAGATGGTACACACACACACACACACACACACACACACACACAAAGTTTGTAACTACAATCCAAATCAAAACCTTTTTTCTCGTCCCCTCTCCAGGCTGTACCCAGTGGACAGGAGTCGAGTCAACGAATACGGCATTTCGTATGATGAAAAGCCTAAAGGGAAGTCTCACAAGGAGTAGGACTGATCACCGACTTCTACCATCTGTTGCTTCTCCTCCTCCTCCACTGACGTTCTGCTGGCAGCTCAGCTGCAAGGTTGCATCAGCTGAATATCGCTCATCTCTACGGTGGCTGCTACAAACTTAAAAACAGTTAAAAAAGCAAAACATCCTCCATACTGCCTGTGTTTGATTTGTCCATTCTGGGCTACCATAAAAACGTGGCAGTGCAGCATGGACTTTGTGGACATGGATCTATACAGTCAATAGATAGAAATGTATTTTTATTTTAACTGTGATGAAAACGGCTACAAATATTAATTTTACTTCTCGCAAAGCCACAACGATAAACGATACTCCGCAACATTTACTAACATCGACTGAGCTGAGCATAACGGTCCAGGATAAATGGTTTTTAAACAGCAAAATAATTAATTCAACCGCTTCCGATTGTTTTGCAGTGCATCATGGGACACAAGAATCAAAGCAGTGGGTCAACCATACTGTCAGGGGTTTAAAATACTGTCAAAGTCATTTTTATTAATTTAAACAAAGTTTGCTTTACAGTTTCCGTCTTACAAAAGTATTTGGTACCATTTTATAATAAGGCTCCCCTTATAGATTGCTAATAAATAGTTTATAGATGTTATTAATGCCTCCATAAACACTTTATAAATCATTAATAACTGCTTATTATGCATTAATTAAGGGTGACGGAGACAAAACTGAACAGTTTCTTGCCAAATAGTGAGCCCAATCTGTTCACCTATATATTTAATCTAGAATTGTTAAATTAAACATTTTACTCTAAGTTACTGCCTTGTAAGCACAATAAGCATCTGTAAACCTATTTTTTTAGGATGTAGTATATTAGTTGTAGATACTTATAATGCAGTGATAAAGTACAATATATGCTAAATAAATAGGTTTACAAATGCTTATTGTGCTTACAAGGTAGTAACTTAATCTGAAATGTTTAATATAGTGACTTTGGATTAAATATATACCGGTAGGTGAACAGATTTGGTTCACTATTTGGCAACAAACTGGTCAGTTTTGTCTCTTTCTCGCCCTTAATTAATGCATAATTAGTAATGATTTATAAAGTGTTTATAGAGGAATTAATAACATTTATAAACTATTTATTAGCCATCTATAAGGGGAGTCTTGTTGTAAAGTGGTACCAAATATTCTTTAAAATGACTATTTGGACAACCATCTTTATGTTGGGATTAATTCTAGGGAAACTCCTTTTAAGCTTATTGGCGAATATTTGTTTGGATATTAAAATAATCTGAGACTGGAAGCAAGCTCAATATAGGAGATTGAGGATTTTATAACCAGTTTAAAGTTGTTTATTTTTATTTCTGTTTAAGCTCAGTTAAGGAATATGTATCAGTAACTTGTTGCCATGGAGAATAATTATGTTGGTTTAACATTCCACATTTTTCCTTTTAAAAGTTTATTAATTATTGTGTTTTTAGATTTTATTTTCACTATAAAACAAGAAGGTACACTGAGAGATATATCCTGTTTTCTGCATTCATCTGTATTTTGAAGTTTCACAAGTTTGAGGGTTTTTTTTGTTTGTTTTTTTAAACACATCTGGGCCAAGAATCTTCATTAGTGCCAAAAGTCTGAATGATTCTTTGAACGGTTTGTGAGCTTTGGTTGTAACGTTTGAAGTAAATACTGACATTTTTGAAAGAACTGTGATGGTAAGACTTAAGGAAAGTATTAAAACCTACTCATCACGTTTTGATTTCCTCTCATAATCGAGCTTATTGTTGTAACTGTTTCTTTGAAGTATGAATATTGTAAAAGGAATTTGTGCACGTGTTGCGCTCATTCATGTTTGAGGAGATTTGTACAGAAAGGGCCAGTTTATAATTTGTGTTCCAGATTAAGTGGAGCGAATTTGCCTTGAAATGTTGGAAAATAATTTTAAGTTTTGTGTTTTTGATTTAAATGAAATAAAAACTGAATAAATACATTTTGTTTGTAGGATTTTTCTCATGCACATAAGATGTGTGGAAAGAAAACGGCTGCTCTGACGTGTTGCTCCATGCACGACAAGCGGGACAGACATGTTTACCGTAACATTTATGAAAATATGGCGAACGAACGTGAAGCTGTGCGAGATGTTTGTTAAATGCGAAGTTTCAGCATTTTATGTTGAGCTTTTGAGACTGCGCTGGATGAACAGTTGTTGACTGCACATGATGAGAGTTTAGGTCAGGGGTCTGCAACATGCGGCTCTGGAGCCACATGTGGCTCTTTGGTCCCTCCACAGCGGCCATGACAAGCTTTGACCAGAACTTTATAGGATGTTATACCCACAACAAAAAATGACTAGTTTTTGCTGTTTTCCTGTCATTTTCCTTTGCAAATATGTGGATACTAGTACTAATACACAGAGTAAATTATACTCACTTTAGCGTTATGCTTTATTTCTTCAAAGTAAGGTACTAATTTTCTCCACAATAAACAAAGCAAGCCTTCACAGTTCATCGTTTTAGTTTTTTAAAAATTGGCTAAATATCTTTTTTCTTTACAAGAACCCAGTCTTCTGTGAAAGACTTGTGAGTGCTGGCTATGGGCACCAGAGTATGGAAGTGAATGTGTCTCAATTTTCAAATTAAAAGGGATTAATAGAAATGCTTTTCATTTTCAAAATAAAGCTGCATGTTTTGACTCATCAATAAATTTTAAAAATAAATCATCCAAACTGCATTTTCATTTTCTTCTCCAAGACTGCTCAAGTTGTAAATTAATTAAAATGATAAATAAATTGACATTTCATTTTCAAAATATGTCTGTAAAAAGTGACCAAAATTCATTTTGAAATGTCTAATTCAAAAATTAAAAGTGACCCTTCAACCCGAAAAGGAAAAAGCAATTAAAGATAATGGATGGATTGAATGCAGTCTTTTCTTTTGTCTTAAAATGTAAAAATATCAATAAATGTTTGGCTGTTCATGCCAGAAAATCCCCCTCTAACAAACTTAAAGCGGCCCATGGGCCACCAGTTGATAATGACAATTGTAGCAGGTTTTGTGGCTCTGGACACGTTTAATTTAGTGAACGAAGGGGCAGAAGTGGCTCTTTTGATCCTAACGGTTGCAGAGCCCTGGTTTAGGAGAACAATCGTGCACATTGAGATTATGCTGCAGGAAAAGACGGAGTGTGACTGTTCTGAAGTACCTTCAGGGCGAGAGATGAGTCTGGAGACGAGGTGCAGTTTTTTGGACTGATGTTATGAACAATTTTAATGAAGATGAACATCCATCCATCATCTTTACCTGCTTCTTCCTTTTCAGGTCGCAGGGGTCACCGGTGTCCAGTCATCACTGTGTGAGAGGCGAGGTACATCTTGGACATGTCACATGTTGAAGATGAATGGAGAAGTCATTTTCATATGTTCAGCGCCACAGGCAGAACCCCCCAATGGGGAGGCCTGCACCTCATCCCTGACAGACCCAGAGTACCAGATAAAGAATGGCCAACTTTGGAAACCATTGGTGGAATTAGCTTCCACTAAATTAGGCTTTGCCAACTTTAAGGCCATTAACCAAATTCACAACGTTTTGGACGTGTCTCAAAGAGCCCGTTAGGCGCGCTGTTGGCTTATTACGTGTACATGTGACAAGACGTGATTGGTCGATGCAGCTTCAACTGGATGGAGACGAAGACGTGTGACGCAGACTGAGTGACAGTCCTCTTAGCGGTTTAGCTTACGCTAAATGTTTAGCAGTTTTGTGTTAGTTAGCAAAGTTAAGTTTTTAGTTAACAGATTTTGGTTTGCTGTGCCCACCACTGGATACAGCAGTCATAACAGGTAGAAAGAGAAAATGCACAACTGAACTGAACTCCCTGAGAAGTTGTTGTCTTTTCTAATTTTTTTTTTTTTTTTGCACATAAACTTTTGCACAGGTACGTACAGTTTACTGTTATTCTTTGTTTTGGTCACAATTTAGAACTGTGTGCGTTCTACTCTGGCTTCGTTTAATGAGCGTGAGAAACTGTGTGAATGTTCTTCTAACGTATCCACAGTTTCTAGGGGAGCAACTCCAGCTTCTGTATCCCTAGCTTGCTCTAAAACATCTCTAAACGGTTAATGAGAGAGTGAGCTGCCATGTTTGAACAGACATCAAACCAAAGATTTCACAGGATCAGCGTTAGTCCCGCCCACTGAGTTTGATGAGGGAGGTTGACAGGAGGTAACACAATTTCAATATTTCATGAACGGGGCACGGGGCGGCACAGTGGCTCAGTTGGTAGGGCTGCGGCCTCTCAGTGAGAAGGTCGCTGATTCAAATCCTGGCTGGGGATCTTTCTGGGCGGATCTAAAAAAGTTAAATCTGGTCCTCTGGACATTCAAAAAAACAAAACAAAGCAAAACAACAAAAAAAAAAATGTAGAAACGTTTCGTCTCTCATCCGAGAGACTTCCTCAGTCTGAGGTGCTGTTTTCAGCTCAGTCTCTTAAATAGCACCTACTCAGAGTGGATCAACCAGTTTGCTGCTGACAACCAAAACCAGCTGATCACATGCTCAAGAAGGACCATCAGCCTAACAATGGATCATTAGCACACTGATGGCTGTTTACTGTTCACAGAGGGTTGAGTGATACTAGCAATCACAGCATTGTAAGAGGGGGACAGTTGAACCCGGAGGCCTCCGCCCCTGTTTAACGATGGACGATTTCTTTTCACAAAGATGGCCTCCTTTACTCCTCTCTCAAACCATCGTTCCTCTCTGTCCAGGATGTGAACATCTTCATCCCTGAAAGAGTGACCGCTGGCCTGGAGATGAGTGTAGACCGCAGAGTCCTGGCCTGATGATGTTGATCTTCTGTGCTGGGCCATCCTTTTGGCCAGTGGCTGTTTAGTTTCCCCGATGTAAGACTGATCACAGCCCTCCTGACACTGAACAGCATACACAACATTACTCTGTTTGTGCCGGGGGACAGGATCTTTGGGATGAACCAGTCTTTGCCGTAATGTATTTTGGGGTTTAAAA